CTGTATCCTATCCCTACCCTCTAGTGTATCTACCTCTCCTCCTAGTTTAGTGTCATCTGCAAACTTGCTGAGGGTGCAATCCACACCATCCTCCAGATCATTAATGAACATATTGAACAGAACTGGCCCCAAGACCAACCCTTGGGGCACTCTGCTTGATACCAGCTGCCAAGTAGACATGGAGCCACTGATCACTACCTGTTGAGCCCGACAATCTAGCAGCTTTCTATTCACCTTATAGTCCATTCATCCAGCCCATACTTCTTTAACTTGCTGGCAAGAATACTGTGGGAGATCGTAACAAAAGCTTTGCTAAAGTCAAGGAATAACATGTCAACTGCTTTCCCCTCATCCACAGAGCCAGTTATCTCACCACAGAAGGCAATTAGGTTAGTCTGGCATGACTTGCCCTTGGTGAATCCATGCTGACTGTTCCTGACTACTCAGAAATGACTCTGCACTCAGATGGAAAACGGGGATATACTTTTTTCACTGCCAGACCAAAACATGCTAGTTACAGATGTTACTGAGCCAAAGAGCCTGGGGAAGGGCATTTTACAGGCCAGCCATGTTTAATTCCTCCTTCAGGGTTATGCATCTCTCTTGAAATCTACAGAATACAGGTACAGTGGCTCCTGGAGAGGCAATGTAACTGCCTTCTTAAACCTACAGGACGCTAATTCTTCCATTAAGAGGGCTGTGTTCACCCCCGAAGGACAAGCAGTCTGCAACTGTGCACTACGCTCGCGGACCAAAGCAAGCCTAATCCCATCTAAGGCCCTATATCCACTGCAGGTAACCCGTGGGTGGGCTGCAGTCTCCAGACACTGTGGTCGCCCGAATCCTGGCTGGAGAGGCCGTGCAGCCCTGGCTGAACACATCTCATGGGCTCCTGGGGGTTCCATGCTATTTGGCTCCAATGTGTTCTCTCCTAGTCAGAGCACCCCAGCACGCCATAACGTCACCCTCAGGTTGATGGTCTTATTGTCCTCACTCCCTAGTTGTTACAAAAACTGATTCTTCTGGTAACGGAAGCTGTCATAGAATCATAGACTCTCAGGGTTGTAAGGGACCTCAGGAGGTCATCTAGTCCAACCCTCTGCTCAAAGCAGGACCAATCCCCAATTTTTGCCCCAGATCCTTAAATGGCCCCCTCAAGGATTGAACTCACAACCCTAGGTTTAGCAGGCCAATGCTCAAACCACCAAGCTATCCCTCCCCCCTGTCAATCAAGCTCACTCCATTCCCCTTCCGTGTTTCCCTGAGGCAGGAAGATGCCAACAAAATGGAGCATAGAATCATAGAATCAGAGAATATCAGGGTTGGAAGGGACCTCAGGAGGTCATCTAGTCCAACCCCCTGCTCAAAAGCAGGACCCATACCCAATTAAATCATCCCAGCCAGGGCTTTGTCAAGCCTGACCTTAAAAACTTCTAAGGAAGGAGATTCCACCACCTCCCTAGGCAACGCATTCCAGTGTTTCACCACCCTCCTAGTGAAAAAGTTTTTCCTAATATCCAACCTAAACCTCCCCCACTGCAACTTGAGACCATTACTCCTTGTCCTGTCCTCTTCCACCACTGAGAACAGTCTAGAACCATCCTCTCTGGAACCACCTCTCAGGTAGTTGAAAGCAGCTATCAAATCCCCCCTCATTCTTCTCTTCTGCAGACTAAACAATCCCAGTTCCCTCAGCCTCTCCTCATAACTCATGTGTTCCAGACCCCTAATCATTTTTATTGCCCTTCGCTGGACTCTCTCCAATTTATCCACATCCTTCTTGTAGTGTGGGGCCCAAAACTGGACACAGTACTCCAGATGAGGCCTCACCAATGTCGAATAGAGGGGAACGATCACGTCCCTCGATCTGCTCGCTATGCCCCTACTTATACATCCCAAAATGCCATTGGCCTTCTTGGCAACAAGGGCACACTGCTGACTCATATCCAGCTTCTCGTCCACTGTCACCCCTAGGTCCTTTTCCGCAGAACTGCTGCCTAGCCATTCGGTCCCTAGTCTGTAGCTGTGCATTGGGTTCTTCCGTCCTAAGTGCAGGACCCTGCACTTATCCTTATTGAACCTCATCAGATTTCTTTTGGCCCAATCCTCCAATTTGTCTAGGTCCCTCTGTATCCTATCCCTGCCCTCAAGCGTATCTACCACTCCTCCCAGTTTAGTATCATCCGCAAATTTGCTGAGAGTGCAATCCACACCATCCTCCAGATCATTTATGAAGATATTGAACCAAACCGGCCCCAGGACCGACCCCTGGGGCATTCCACTTGACACCGGCTGCCAACTAGACATAGAGCCATTGATCACTACCCGTTGAGCCCGACAATCTAGCCAACTTTCTACCCACCTTATAGTGCATTCATCCAGCCCATACTTCTTTAACTTGCTGACAAGAATACTGTGGGAGACAGTGTCAAAAGCTTTGCTAAAGTCAAGATACAATACATCCACTGCTTTCCCTTCATCCACAGAACCAGTAATCTCATCATAGAAGGCGATTAGATTAGTCAGGCATGACCTTCCCTTGGTGAATCCATGCTGACTGTTCCTGATCACTTTCCTCTCAGTGATGCAACTCGGATGCAACTCGTCCGGCCCCATGGACTTGTGCATGTCCAGCTTTTCTAAATAGTCCCTAACCACCTCTTTCTCCACAGAGGGCTGGCCATCTATTCCCCATGCTGATGAAATAAGTTGACCTTCCTTGACTCTATGTCTGCTCTCTCCCCGCACTCTGTCCTCCTCTCCAGAGCCCCATGTCTTCTCAACAGGGACCTTATCTCAGTCTGACGGACACAGGAGGGGAAAAATCTGTGTCTGGAAGATTCTGATTATCGTGCTGGGCACTGGAGACGCAGCCTGTGCAGCTGTTGGGGAACCTAATGAAGATGAGTCCATTTCCATACAGGTGATGTGAACCCAGGACAAGGCAGAACTTCTGTTCAGGAACCTTGCACCCTGCCATTGCACACACAAGGATGGCACCTCTTTGCCTCAACATGCTAACTTGTTTTCCCTATTACCTCGTCAGGGACGTGCCACCTCCACCTGCATATTTTAAAGAGGCCTCATGTCATAAAGCGGAGATAATTCCTCTTCACCCTCGGAAAGCTGCATCCAGTGCTGGAGCCCCGGGGAAGGCCCCTCCGGCAGGTGTGTCCCTCACAGACCCGTTAAGAAATGCCACCAAGCTTTTGTTCTGCTCCCAGAGAGGATGACACAGAGCCCCTGGCAAACCATGCTCCCTTGGGCTTGCTGCAGCCCTGTTCTAGTCAGCATCAGTGACAACCATGGGTCCAACACACATACCTGGTATTCCCAGCCCAGCCACTCCCCAGGCCCCTCAGCTAAAACACTTGCCTCTTGGCTCTGTGGGAGAGGTTCTCTTTCAGCCCCTGTGCTCCAAGAGTCTGTACAACGGAGCTCTGCTCTAGCCCAGCTGCTTGTCATTCTGCCTCTGCCTGGTCCATTGTTAACCCCTGGCCTGTCCTCAGGCTGCAAAAGTGGGTTAGAGGACTAGAGAGAGTAATTTACGGGGGGAGATTAAAAGTGAAAGATGGCTAATGGTTGACAGAGAGTAACCTGAGAAAGGTGCAACCATCAAGACCAGTGAGCAAAATTGCTCAGTGTGGTTCAGTGGGGCACAAGCAGGACTCACATACAAGTCTCAGATAAATAGTTCACGAAGCTGTCAGACTGCAGAGCCATCTCTCACCAGGAGTGGTGGAAGCCCCATGCTGAGATATTTCCTATTGCACTGGAGAAGACACAAGTGAAGATACACTGTAGGGGCCCAGCTTGCATTGGCTGGGGATGCACTGGGCAACATACTATGGCTTTTCCTTCTCTAATTTCTCTGGCCCTTCCTACATTAGCCCACTTTGCCAATGCGTGGAGGAATAGGGCCAAACCGGGGCAGGGCCCTGTGTACACCACAACACAATGGGACCAAACTGTGGCAAGCAGCCCGAAATTCTACAGCCATATTAATTAATTGTACACCCATGAAATCCTTTTCACTCCCATCCTCCCACACTCACAGCACTATGGCTCACAGCTGGACAGATTCCTTCTGCAGCAAAATACTGAATTCTGTGGTTCATGGGAAAAATTCCAGATTCCACAGACACACGATCACAGAGCCCATGGGGCCCAGAGTAAGAGGGCTGGAGGAGTTCACACATTGGTTTGGGCTCTTTACAGACCCAGCCCTTTTGATGTTATTCTCATAACTGAAAGGCTAGACGTGTACTTTGGTAAAAAGTGAAAGCTGAGATTTTGGACACAATTGTGTGGCCCCAAGTGAATCCTGTGGCACATTGTGCACCCATGGAACCACAGAACACACAGGGCCCTGACCACGGTTCAGTGAAATTAGTGTCAGTAAACCGGAGTCACTGCTCAGGAGACATGGGAACGGGGTTACGGTGACTCTGTGTACTGTGCCTGGCACACTCTGCGTGAGAGGATCCAAGAGCCCTTGCCACATGGCTCAAGAGTAGAGCTGGCTCTCTGCAGCCAAAACAAGCTCTAGAGATGCTGACAATGCCTACCTCTGAGTCTTGACCACACAGATGCACAGAGAGGAAAATCCAAACACTCTACACCATGGGCTGGTCTCTGGTTTGTAGGAGACAAGTGGGAGCCACAGGGGCTGTCAGACGGCAGTGCTGAGAGAGGTCGGAGCAGCACAGCACAGAGAGAGGACATGGAACAAAACCCAGGAGAGTGTGACATACAAGCCTCACACACAGTCATCAGAAGCTCATCTCCCATGTCTCCTGAAAGCCAGTGAGCAGTGACCAAGGGGCAACAGCAGAGCTAACCAAGCCTGCAGGCTCACCCACTCCATGTGGGGCCTGCATACAGCTGGTGAAGTCCTGAGAGCAGGCATTGAGGCCAACAGGGACCCTTCAGGCAGCTGAGGGACAGACGAGCAGCAGCCAGGGGCCAGTTCTCATGCTTCGCAGCAAACGAATACTCACTCTTTAACTTGGAACGCACTTTGTTTGCTGTCTTTTTGATGTCAGACATTAATTCTTCGAGCTCCTCCTTGGTTTCTAGAGGGAGGAAGGAGAGAACAAAGATGGGTGCATTGGAGACACTGAGACACTGCCCCTGGCCTGCCCCACCCTGGTCACTGGACATGATTCAATCTACATCTGCCAGGTGATGCACTCCCTCCCACTGGGCTTGAGCATCCAGCCGCTGCAGCACTCCTCCCTTCCCCCAGGGAAGGAGATCAGAGGGGTCACACTGTGGAACAGGCCGGGAGCTTCCTTCTCCGTGGAGCCTCTGCCAGACTGAGAGCAAGACCCATGGGACCAGAAATGATCCTGGGCTTCCCGCATGCCTGTGTCAAGGCTTCCACCCAGACACTGAGTGTGCTGAGCCTTGCTGTCAGATGCGTTGGGGTTAGTTGGGCTGCTCCCAAGTGCTCTGGAGGCACTGCCTGTCTGTGCTCAGCAATAGAGCCCCACAGAACTAAACCACTTGGCTTTTGTCACTTGGGGCCCAATCAGCAGGCAGGCGTCTCCCTACCTCCTTCCCAACCAGCAGGGAGAAGGGAAACGAACAGTCACCTGAGACCCGAAATGTGACAAGCTAGCTGGGAACAAAGCAGGAGAGAGATACTGTCCAGAGCTCTAAGCCAGGCGTGTGAGAGCGGTGGCACTGCCCAGGCTTCAGCTACACGAACACAGCCAAGCGCCCACACAGAATCATAGAATATCAGGGTTGGAAGGGACCTCAGAAGGTCATCTAGTCCAACCCCTGCTCAAAGCAGGGCCAATCCCCAGCTAAATCATCCCAGCCAGGGCTCTGTCAAGCTGGGCCTTAAAAATCTCTGAGGAAGGAGATTCCACCACTTCCCTAGGTAACGCATTCCAGTGCTTCATCACCTCCTAGTGAAATAGTTTTTCCTAATATCCAACCTAGACCTCCCCCAATGCAACTTGAGACCATTCCTTCCTATTCTATCATCTGCCACCACTGAGAACAGTCTAGATCCATCCTCTTTGGAACTCCCTTTCAGGTAGTTGAAAGCAGCTATCAAATCCCCCCTCATTCTTCTCTTCCACAGACTAAATAACCCCAGTTCCCTCAGCCTCTCCTCATAAGTCATGTGTTCCAGTCCCCTAATCATTTTTGTTGCCCTCTGCTGGACGCTTTCCAATTTTTCCACATCCTTCCTGTAGTGTGGGGCCCAAAACTGGACACAGTACTCCAGACGAGGCCTCACCAATGTCGAATAGAGGGGAACGATCGAGTGCCCCAATCTGCTGGCAATGCCCCAACTTATACAGCCCAAAATGCCGGGGAGTTCTGTATTAGACTTTTTCCTTACAGATAAAGAGGAACTGATCACAGAACTAAAAATTAATGGTAGCTCAGTACAAGTGATCATGACTTGACACCATTCATAATGTGCAAACAGATTAAAGTCCAGACCAGTATATATATATATATATATATATATTTTGTGACAGGGTCGGGCCAGATGGCTATAGGAGAGTAATTTTTTTTTTTGAAGCAAAAGGTGTTTTTATTTGCATAACATACTTACAAAGTAAAAACAGCAGCATATGCAATGTGTAACACAGCAACCAATCACAATTGTTTTCTCATTAGCTTCAGGGGAGGGAAGTTTTCAAGCTTGCCCGGGCCCAGGGCTGGGGGCTTCCTCGACTCTCGTGGTCTTCCACCCTTCCGAGTTACCTGGTAGCCCAGAGCGAGGGGGCTTCATCGACTCACGTGGTCTTCCACCCCCTCGAGTTACCTGGCACCACGCCCGAGTGTCACCAACAATTCTCTCCTCTGAAAGCACCCAACAAGAGGGGTAGGCTGTGGGGTGGACAATCCGGGGGGGGGGGGGGAGGTCACGTGCACCCGCATGTGAAAGGACCCCTCTAGGGTGCTGGTGTCCGCAGCAGCAATGGCTGCAGCTGGGGTCCCTTACTCTCTCCCCCAATCAAAGGGTCAGACACAGGGACCCAGACGGGGACACAGAGCAGAGAACCTCGGACAGCGCCCACCGCTCCTCAAAAGCATCAAGGGAGTCGGTGGACGCCGCCCAGAGGAACTCCGCCCGGATACGTGAACGGACCGAGGATTGGAAAACGGCCCCACAGTCACAGGAAACTCGATCAGCCAACCTCCTCTCTCTGGTTTTATAGATGGCCATTTATTCAGGGCCAGGAGGAGGTTAACTAGGAGATCCCGCGACTTTGTGAGGCCACGGATGGGGAGTGCATACATAAAAAGGTGAGGGGAAAAATGCAACCAAAAATGTAATAGGAGATTTGTGAGGAGCTGGAACAGGGGCTGCAGCCTGGCACACTCCAGATATACATGCGCCAGGGTTTCCCTCACACCACAAAAGGGACAAGTATCTGGGACGCGGGTGAACCGCGCCAAGTACGTGCCCGTGCTCATAGCTCCGTGAAGGAGCCGCCAACTGATGTCCCCAACGGGCCTCGGAAACAAGGTGGAATATAGGCTGGCCCACCGGGGCTGCTCACCCTCCAAAGGTGGCAGAAGGTCTCGCCACTTTGTGTCGGGGCAGGACACTAGGGTGAGGGCATTGAGGGAGTGGAGCACGAGCGTGTATAGATGTTTCCTTGGCGTGGTTTGAAAGCGTACCGGCTGCAGTTCATGCAGCCGGCTCGCACTGAAGGGGTGAGGGGGTCAATTGGGTCTGCGAGGCAGGGGTCCAATTAAAAGGTCTCGCGGGCCTGGGGTAGAGGGTGGGCGGGGCATGCCCTCGAGCACGACCCGGTCGAGGTAAGCTCGAGCAGCGGGCGGCAAAGTGGCCCTCACCTCCTGAAGTATGCGCTGGGTGGTACGAGGTCTGGAGAGCCCCATGCGCCCAGCGAGCGTCAGGGGATCCAGCCAGTCTCCCAGATCGTAGTCCAAGAGGTCTCCAACTCTCGTGACTTCTGCCAGGATCAAGCTCTGGCGCACCGAGTGGGACTCTGCCACCTGCACATGGAGCTGGGGGTTGTGCAGCAGGGGCTCCGCGAGCAGATCTGCCCCCTCGATGGCCACCATGGACCTGGTCGTTAAAAACAGTTTCCAAGTCCGGAGGAGGTCCTGGTAGAAGACCGGCAGCCCAGAGCGGTCTCGCGGAATACCTCCCGGACAGAGATAAAAGAGCTGCTGGTCATATCGGAGCCCTCGGATGCGGCGCAGGATGGTGTGCGCCAGTGTGCTCCACACCGAACTGCCTGCACCATAGAGGAGCCTCTGTAGGGCCTGGAGGTGGAAGACACGGACCTGAGTGTGCAGACACTTCAGGCCCTGTCCTCCTTCCTTCAGGGGTAGATGAAGAACCCCTACAGGGGCCCAGTGCGTTCCTGACCAAAAGAACCCCAGAATCGATGTCCGGAGGTTGGTCAGGAAACCCGGGGCCGGGACCAGGGTGTTGAGCCGGTACCAGAGCATGGGACAGGACTAGTTGATTAAGCACCAGCGTTCTCCCTCGGAGGGAGAGACATCGGAGTAGCCTCGTCCATTTCCGGATCTGCTCTATCACCCCGCCCTCTAAATTTTCCCAGTTCTCCAGCGGAGAGGGATGCATGGCAGAAAGGAAAATGCTGAGGTAGAGCAGCGGACACGCGCTCCACCAGATGGTCTGAAGCGTGGGTGGGAGGGAGCTCGCCTGCCGCCAGTCCCCCACTGCCAAGCCAGAGCTCTTGACCCAGTTGACCTGGGCGGAGGAGGCTGCCGAATAGATGGCCTGGCAAGCCTCCACCCGTGCCAAGTCGACGGGGTCCTGGATCACGAGGAGCACGTCATCAGCGTATGCCGACAGGACCAGCCGCAGCTCCGGCTCCTGCAGCACCAACCCTGTCAACCTCCTGCGGAGGAGACAGAGGAAGGGCTCGATCGCTAGAGTGTACAGCTGGCCCTAGAGGGGGCACCCCTGCCGTACTCCTCGCCTGAAGCTGACCGGTTCGGTCAGGGTCCAGTTGAGCTTAACCAGACACTCTGCGGAAGCGTACAGCACCCGGAGAAAACCCACAAACTGGGGTCCGAAGTCAAACGCCTGCAGAGTGCTCAGGAGGTACCCGTGGTCTACCCTATCTAGGGACAGGAGGGCGAATGACAGACCGTCTCTACGCCCGAATTCCAAAAGGTCCCGAACCAGAACTAGGTTATCAAAGATACTGCGGTCCGGGACGGTGTAGGTCTGGCCTGGGTGGATCACGTCCGCCAGCACAGACCCTAGCCGCAGCGAGATTGCTTAGGCTACGATTTTGTAGTCTGTGCTGAGGAGCGAGACAGAACGCCAATTTCATAAATCGCAGATGTCCCCCTTCTTCGGCAATAAGGCAAGCATAGCTCGCCTGCACGAGAGAGGGAGGACCCCGCTCTGCAGAGACTCGGCCCAGATAGTGACTAGGTCTGGGCTGAGAACGTCCCAAAACACGCGGTAGAACTCCATGCTCAGCCCGTCCATGCCTGGAGACTTATTAGTGGGCATACGATGGAGGGCTTCCAAGAACTCGGCCAGAGTGAGAGGCAACTCTAGCCGGTCTCGGTCGCTCGCACTGACCGTAGGGAGCTCCTCCCAAAGCACTCTGCAAGCGCTAATGTCGGTCGTATCTGGGGAGAAAAGACTTGTGTAGAAGGCTTGGGCCCTCCCGCACATCTCCGCCGGTTCCGTGAGGGGGGTGCCCTCTTCTGCCAGGAGGCAGGTGACATGTTTCTTGGCCCCCCTCGTTTTCTCCAGGGCATAGAAGAAGCGGGAGCCGCGATCCATCTCCCAAAGGAGGCGGATGCGGGATCGAACAAAGGCACCCTGGGCCCAATGGTTCTCGAGGGCCCGGAGCTCCTCCCGCTTCTCCTGGCATGCTCCGCAGAGGAGCGGGTCCTCAGGGCTGGCGGCCAGACGCCTCTCCAGGTCTAAGACCTCCCGTTCCAACTGCTCTATCGCCGCATTTCTCCGTCAGCTGGTGCCCCGGGTGTAGTCATGGCAGAAAAGCCGGGCACGCACCTTCCCCAGGTCCCACCATCGCCGTGCTGAGGGAAAGGCACGCCGCTGCCCTCACCAGGCCAA